TTTGGCCATTTGTTTCTGTATGAGGCAATAGAAGCTCAGAAGTTTTGCATGCACCAGCTTTACTGTGGGGTGATTGAAAAATGAGTCATTTCTTTGGCATTCCCCCAAGTATTAGTGTCTAATATTTTTCCATTGAGATTATTTCATTTTTCCAAAGGAAATTCTCCAATGTGCAGAGTCAGTGCCAGTCTGACTACTAGGTGTCTTGTGATTTTAAAAAATAATAGCTTTGAAAAATATTGTTTGTCCTTGTATCTCTCCTTCCGTGAGGTCTTTTATAGTGTCCTATCTTCATGAGCCACTTTCCCAAAGAATCATTTCTGCTCTTCTCGATGTGTGGTGGAATGACTGCCAAACCCATGGCTCTTGTATGGGATTGTGGAATAGCATATTCATTATATGCTATAGTATAAGCTATATCATTATATGCTATCATATAAGCTATATAATTATATGCTATAATATAAGGTTGATGGACCTTGGATGCTGCAGTACTTGAGCCATCCTTTTGGAGCTTTGATTTGTCTTCAGTGCTATGATTTCCGCTGTTTTCATTCGATCTTTAGTGTAGCACTTTATTATATAGTAGGCTTACATTTTACTTGACCAAATTTATAAGGGAAAAATCATCACATCACAGTGTTCAATATCATTATTCAGGTTTAAAGCACTTGTGTTTAGGTTTTGTTATGCAATCTGTACTATTTTGCATCACTATTAGGAATCTTTTTATTCTTATTTATTTATTTTTACTTTGGTTTGCTTCTTAAAAACACTTGATCTCCAGCTGTTTACAATACTAGCTCTAGGATCTTTGATCTGCCACAAATGTTCTTTCTATGACTTTTGCTATTCTTACTAGGATTTTTTTTTCTTGCTTAGAGGAAACTGAAAATAGATCCAGATCTATTCTTCGAAGATGACGGTCTATCTTGGGAACATAGGGAGAGAGTGATGTATGGGAGGGGTCACAGTGGCTGGAGCCCTTACATAGTTTGTGCTTTCTGTAAGTGCCCCTGTAAATAGCACATGGGATTTCCCCCTCTGGACACTACATGTTTCTGCAGGCAGAGAGAGAAAGGTATCTACCAAAAATGAAAGGAAAATCTGATTGAGGGATAAGGAAGGAGGACATGTACACTTGGAAGAAGAGTTTTGAGGGTCCCAGGGAGAGAGCTGTACAGAATCATGATTAATCAGCACAGGCAGCTGCAGCAGGGAAGTCGGGAAACTTTGAGGTATGAGTTGTGTTCTTTATGCTCTGCACTCTTTTTCCTCCTCACTGCTCATTGCTCTTAGAAGAGCAGTGTCCACACTGAATGGTCATTACTGTCGGGTCTTATTGTCCAATCAGATTAAACCACAGTTTTCATGAAATGAGGTCACATCCAGTGGATTTCAGGACATTGTAGTTAAGATGGCTGTGTTCTACTTCTGTGATTTAAAAATAAAAAGTAGAATGACCATATGGGGGTTAATCAGGCGGATTTCTATGTTAACTCTGAAATCTAGGTTTTCCACAGCCATTCTGATAGAGATGGTCAGCAGTTACTTATGCACAGATTCATGTGATGATGGCAGTGTTGGTTACCACAAACATTTGCACTGGATAAGGGAAAAGGCCATTCCCAGTTCCGGGTGTGATGCCATGTTGGCAAAGACCAGAGATCAGAGAAGAGAAAGGAGTTTGTTCTTTTCTGAGTCCCTGGAAAAATAAGGGAGTCTATAAAACAGAGAGCAGAATGCACATGTGATCAACTTACAGACCCTCAAGACATACTGATTTTGTGTTATAAAGCTTGAATTTTTATTTTATTTATTTATTTATTTTTTGACAGGCAGAGTGGACAGTGAGAGAGACAGAGAGAAAGGTCTTCCTTTTGCCGTTGGTTCACCCTCCAATGGCCGCCGCGGCCGGCGCGCTGCGGCCGGTGCACCACACTGATCCGATGGCAGGAGCCAGGTACTTATCCTGGTCTCCCATGGGGTGCAGGGCCCAAGCACTTGGGCCATCCTCCACTGCCTTCCCTGGCCACAGCAGAGAGCTGGCCTGGAAGAGGGGCACCGGGACAGAATCCAGCGCCCCGACCAGGACTAGAACCCGGTGTGCCAGCGCCGCAAGGCGGAAGATTAGCCTAGTGAGCCGCGGCGCCGGCCTAAAGCTTGAATTTATAATCATCTATTTCAAGGGAATCTCTCTCCACTGCCACCCACTGTACTGGGTTTAAGGCCCTACTCCTACCCAGCACACTGTGTGCTCCCTTTACTTAAAATCACTGTCCTTAGGTTTATCTCTTCAGCCAGCTGTCCGAGGAAAAGATTTGAGCTGTGCTGATATCCATACCCACCGGTTAGCCCAGTGTCAGGCGCTGTGAGTCAGCGCTGCAGAAGCGTATGTTTGGATGAATGTCATTCGCAAGGACTTCCTCAGCTTGTCTTACTACTATTTCCTGGCACTGGATTTTTTTTTTTAAATATTTATTTATATGAAAGGCAGAGTTACAGAGAGGTCTTCCATTGCTGGTTCACTCCTCAGATGGCCGCAAGACTAGAGCTGAACCAATCCAAAGCCAGGAGCCAGGAGCTGCTTCTGGGTCTCCCACGTTGGTGCAGGGGCCCAAGGACTTCTACTGCTTTCCCAGGCCATAGCAGAGAGCTAAATCAGAAGTGGAACAGCCAGGACTGGAACTGGTGCCCATATGGGATGCCGGCACTGCAAGTGGCGGCTTTACCCACTACACCATAGCACCAGCCCATGGAGATTCTGTAGAAGTAATTTAGCTTAGCCTGGGCTCTAGTCTTTGGTTTATGAGCTGTTAGAAAGCCATATAGAACCTCATTATTTCCTTCTTTCTGCTCTGCCTTTCTGAAGTGCCTATTTCATCTTAAAATTGGCTGTTCTCTGTAAACGGCCTGACAGCAGTTTTGTAGGCCATGAATTTGCCAGTTAATGTGTGTACCTATGTGAAGTGCAAGGGAAAGTTGGGTGGGAATGTGTTAGGAGAATTTTTACTCATTGTACCACTTCATAGCTGGTCTTAGTGGCGAGAGGATCTCATTTGGAACTGGCTTAGGCCTAGATTGCTTGAATCACTGTGGTGGAAAGGAGAGGGTGAGCTGGTTTGGCTTAGACTTGCCCCACTCTATGACTGGGATGGCATGTGCTTTACATGAAGCACGTGAAGAACTGGTGGATAACCAACCGGAAGCTGACTAATGTTAGCAAGAGGCAATATGGCTGTTGTGTGCACAACAACAAGCAAGGCCCCACAGTTGCTTTAATCCGGATTTTCTATGGAACCATGCTTCATGACTATTTTGTTCTTCATATAAAGCCACTTATGAATTTATTGATTGTATGTTATGCGAAAGAATTAATAATGTAGCTAGTAAATTTTGAGTATGAGATTCTATTATTTATTTGGGGATAGAAGACTCTCAAATAGGTAAAGAGTTAAATAGCAATGTAGGAAATGGGTAATGGTTCAAGGCAGCATGTAACACATCAGGTTGTTTAAGTGAATCATCCGCAGAGTATATACTTTGCATTCTGCAGTAATGATATGTTCACTTTTTTGGTCTGGATTGTGTGGATGATGGAAACAAGATGCTGGTCCTCAAAGTGCTGAGCCTAGTCAAGAGAATGGTTAACGAGTGTGGGGGCAGGTAGCGTGGCCTCCCTCACAGAAGCAAACTGCTGGGGGCCAGCACTGTGGCACAGAGGGTAAAGCTGCCATCTACAGTGCCAGCATCCCATATGGGCGCTGATTCAATACTCAGCTGCTCCACTTCCAATCCAGCTCTCTGGTATGGCCTGGGAAAGCAGTAGAAGATGGCCCAAGTCCTTGGGCCCCTGCACCTGGAAGAAGACCCAGGAGAAGCTCCTGGCTTTGGATTGACACAGCTCCGGCCATTGCGGCCAGTTGAGGAGTGAACCAGCGGATGGAAGACCTCTGTCTCTATCTCTTTCTCTGCCTCTCCTTCTCTGTGTAACTGTGACTTTCAAGTAAAAAATAAATAAATCTAAAAAAAAAAAAAGGCAAACTGCCAAGGACAGGAACCTGTAAACAGAAGTGATGGTTCCTGGTAAGCCCTTCAGGGTCTCAGGAACTTGGGTAGTCGGGATACACGCTGCATCCACTGTGAACAGCTATGTTCATTTGTTCTGCATGGTGGCTGTGGTGCAGATACCCAAATCACCCCAACACCCAGGTGCCAGCTGTGGTTACCACCTTGGGTTGGTCATTGCTGGCAGTGCTGTTTGTTAGAAGACCCTTCTGTGTCCCGCCCTGTTTTTTGGAGGCTTCCTGTAGTGGGTCTGCTCCAACTGATCTGATGCGTAGTTTGTGCTGTTAGACTTTCTGCCATATGGAAACCACCCACTCACACTGCTGGACATTTCAGATAATTTAAACTTCAAAGAAGAGAATTTCAGTGCATTTCTTTGGGGGTCTTCCAGTGCCGGGCACCATGTGAGGCTTTTAGAAATATGGCAGTGATCCAAAACTGACTTGAACTCTGCTGTCACAGGCTGTATTCTAGTAGGGGAGACAGAAGGCAATTGCTAATTGTGGGCAGAGCAAGGGATTTGCAGGAAGCTTGGGATACTTTTAAGGCATTTTGTAGATGATCTCAGCGTTAGGATTTTTAAATAAGATTTATTTGGAAGGCAGGGTTACAGAGAGGGGGCAGACATAGAAGGGAATCTTACTCCCCAAATGGCTACAACAGCTGCGGGCTGGGCCTGACGGAAGATAGGAGTCAGGAACTCCTTCTGGGTCTCCCATGTGGGTGGCAAGGACTCCAATACTTGATCCCAACATCTGCTGCTTCTCAGGCACATTAGCAGGGAGCTGGATCAGAAGAGAGTAGCTGGTAATCCAGTCAGTATTTTGGTATGGGAGGCAGGTATCCCAAATGCCGGTTCCAAGATTTTTTTCCTAGTAGTTTCCACAAGTTAAACGTACATAATTTTCATTCTCTTTGTCTCTTTGGCGCAGGTCCCTGATGAACCCAGAAAACCCTCCACCATATCCGGGCCCTGGTCCGACAGCCCCATACCCACCTTATCCACAACAACCAATGGGGCCTATGGGGGCGCCCTATCCCCCTCCTCAGGGATACCCCTACCAAGGATACCCACAGTACGGCTGGCAGGGCGGGCCTCAGGAGCCTCCTAAGACCACAGGTATGTGTCTGAATATGTGAGTGTGCGTGTGTGCAACTCTGTCAGCCGAAGGAAATGTTTCATGTTTTCTTAAGCAGAGAGGAAACTGTGCAGCCTTTGTGAGTTGTGAGTGTCCCCAAAGTTTGGTAATGGCTTAGGGTGACTTCGCACTCAGGAGGCCCAAGTTCTGCCTCATTCCTGCATGCTTCTTGTCCCCCCTGGGACTGATGACTTTCTGGCCAACATGTTCCCTAAGGCTACTCCTAAAGCACTGGTGGAGAAAGTGCCAGTCGGGTCCTCACTCTGACAGCCAGTTTGGTTTTTCAGGTTTAGCCTGTTGGGGTTTTCTGTTTTCTTGTTGACCTTCAAGTCATCCTCTTGGCCTTGCTGTGGAGTTGTTTTTCTTTACTACATATTTTCATCATTCTCTTTAACCTGCTAGTTGGGTTTTCAGCAGTTTTCTGAGTCCTCCTTGTGTGCCTGAACAGTGCTACTCAAAGTTGTTTTTAAAGTTATGCCAGTCCATGAACAGTGACTGATTACTGGACTCTGATGAGATAAATACAGAAAGTGAGAGCAAACACACAGAAACCTTTAGAGCAGTTGGCGCTGCTGTGACATGTAAGCATGTTATCTTGCTTTTTACCAAGTAGCAGTCTGCATCTTGAGAAGCACTGTGCTAGGTGTTTTGGTGGTGATTTTATTACCCTGTGATTTGCAGTGTGACTGCTTTCCTGTGTCTCTTTCAGCTTTTTAAAGTAGTTAATTCTTTTTGAATGCTTACTGTGTGCTAAGTGGTTTCTTAAGAGCTTTATATACATTAACATTTAATCCTTGCAACAGTTCTATGAGCTTATTCCCATTTTACAGTGAAGCAGTTGGGGTATGGAGTAATAATTCACACAAGGTCACCTAGCTGAAGTGGCAAAGCCCAGAGGAGCAGCCTGGTAGTTTGGCTTAAAAGTCTGTGCCTGTGATTTATTGGTGTACTGTTGTACCTGCTCTTGCCTTTCCTCAGCTGACTCAAATTCATCCAAATTCAAAGACCTTTAGCTTCCTCTGGGAGACTTTCCCATAGCTTAACTCTTTCAAATAGGTAAAGATACAAAAATATGTTTAAGAGGATGTTTTCATAGTGTCAAATAAGAGGCCCTGTTGAATGAGTATAGTACATGTGAGTACATTTAAAGGATTTGGTTTATCTTGAAGGATTCTGCTTTGCTGTTACAGTTTTTATAGCACCTGCTTGGTAGAGTGCAGCATTGTAACCAGTGTGATCAGGGCAGTTGGCATTCGAGTCTGCAACTTCATAGGGTGAGTTCCTGAAAATAAATCTTAGCTCCTGGGTTTTCTGCTTCTCAAAGTAACCTTGTGAAGAATGAATGAAAGCATATAGAAACGACCAAATACTTTCTGTGATTCCATTAGTATAGACTTCGAGAACAGGCAAAAGAATCTATGGTGATAGAGATCAGAATGGCGGTTACTTCTTCCTGTGGAGTGGGTGTGTCAGGGTGGGGTTGGTTATTGATTAGGAGTGATCTTTCTGGGGTCCATATCTTATTCTAGATACAAACACTATTCAAGATGCACACTAATGATCTCTATTCTTTATTATATGTTATACATCAGTGAATAAAAAACAGTCAACATAGTGTTGGGTTATCCAGTAGATTCAGCCCAATTGGTATTAAGACTTTAACCTACAACCCTCTTGGTCTTTCTGTACATTTCAGTGCCAGTGTTGTTTATACCAGCTCTCTGACTAGCATTTATTAAGTCTGGAACTTTATTGAGGTTGTCTAGTTTAAGTGCTTCGTAGATTCAGTGTACTTTGTCTCCTTGTGCAGAAAATAAAAAATTTTTCCTCTTTCTGACCTTTGGTGTAAGTACTGATGTCAGCTTGTTTATAGAAAAACATTTCTTAATTTTTCTAGGATTAAAAGGCTCTTTTAGTGTTATCAGTCACAAATGATTTCACAATGCAGTTGCAAGCTATATAACATCCTTTTCCTATGGTTGTACCTAGGAGTAACTCTCTGTCATTAGACCGTGAATTATTAATAAGCTGGACCCATGGTATACCCAAATAGAGCAGCTGATGTCACATGGTCAAGTTTTTCTCTTGTCTGGGGTCCAGGCTCTTTGTGTGAATGTGACCCTGTGAATGTGTAGGCTCACTCAGGGATGAATCCTTGCTCTTGACATTGTTTTTGAGATTGTCAGTCAGGACCATGTGTTTTGTTGTGTGACTGAACTTTATGTGGAAGTTTGATGCCCCAGCTGGGTGATTTTAGATTTATCTAGTACTGCAGATAATTTCTGTGTGCTGAACTTCAAGTGTGTTCCATTCTATTAATGTCTACACAGGCTATACAGTTTATTTTAAAAAGAGGAGAACTTTAGCCATTTTTAATTGACATCTGATAATTACTACAGGCTAAAAGTGATGAATGGGTGGGTAGGTGGGAGAGATGGCTAAGCAGAACCTTTTTGGATCATCTGTTCATTTTTCAGAAATTGTAGCCCCCCCCCCAAAAAAAAAAAAAACCTCATTTTTGTTTTTCTCAGGAAACCAGCCTTTTGAAATCATGTGATTAGAAGCAGCAGGTGCTTGTGGGACTAAGTCTTCCCAGAGTGCACGCCTGTAGGCTCACAGCAGCCCTGTCGTGTCAGTCCCATGTTACAGAGGTAGAACCTAAGGCTCAGAGGAGTTGTGCTTAGGCTGTTGTAGAACATACCAAAAGTGTAGTGGCTTAATACAATATTGGATTTTTAAATTTCTCATCATTCTCTGTTGCATGGAAGGTTCTTCTGCTTAATGTGATCTCTCCTGGAGTCACTTGTGTGACAATTCAGCTCTCAGTCTGGCTGGGGCTGGGATGTCCAAGATGGACTCACTCACATGGTTTTTTTCCATGAGGTGTGTCTCTGCATGCAGTCTGTCATCAGTGGGTAGAGTAGCCTCAGCCGCTTTCCATGGCAACAAGCTTCTGAAAGGCTGAAATGGAAGCTGCCAGGCTTTTGATGATTGTGCCCAGAACTGGCACAGCATTACTTCCCCATATTCCACTGTTCAAAGCAAGTCACGAGACCAAGCAATACAGGAAAATAGTTATGATCTCTCCCCTCTCCACCTTTTTTGGTAACTGCTTTATTGAGATATAATTCACAGGCCATATAATCCACCCATTTAAAGAGTACAATTCAATAATTTTTAATGTATCCACAAAGTTTTTTAACCATCACCAGTGTCATAATTCCTGAACATTGTCACCACCCTAAAAAAAACCTCATACCCTTTAAGCAAGCTCTCTCCCTCTGTTAATCTACTTTCTGTCTCTATAAATTTGCCTGTTCTGGAGATTTCCTAAAATGGAATTATATAAAAAGTGGCCTTTTGTGAGTAGCTTCTTTCACTTAGCTTAATATATTTAGCATTCATCCATGTTGTAGCATGTAATAGCACTTCATTCCTTTCTATTGCCACATACTATTCGACTGTGTGGATATACCACGTTTTATTTTCCCATTCATTAATTGATGAACATTTAGGTTGTTTCAGCTTTTAGGCTGTAATGAATAATGACTAGTGGCTGTTATGAACAGTTGTGTAAAACTGACTCCATCTTGATCAGAGGAACAGTGTGTGAATACAGGGTGAGGGAGGTTGTGGGTAACCATCTACAAGATAGTCGACCACCTTCTGCCCTTTATTTGCTCTCAACAGTTCACATCCCTCCGGTGTGCAAAATATATTCACTCCCTTCCAAGGCCACCAGGTGTCTCATCTGCTAGCTACATTGGCTGAAAATCTGGGGGTCATAATCTAAGTAGTCTCTGTGTAGACAGACCTCTCATCTGCCCTGCTGGTCCATGTGCACCCTGCCTTTGCTCATGCTGCTCCTCACTCACTCTTCTGATTCTCACTTTGCCCCAGCCTACCCTGCACATCTTAGGAGATCAAAATGAAATATCACCTCCACAGAGCTTTTCCTTATCTACACCACACCCCCAATAGAATTTGCCGCTTTGTGAGTTTTAGCTGCTCCCTATGGAGATTTCTTTCAGAGTAATTCAGTTGGTTCCATTTTACATCAAGTTTAGCTGCTTCAGGTCAGTACAATCAATCTCATTCTTACTATTGAGGTTTAGGCTTCTGCCATTTGTTTTATTCATCACACCTTAAAAAACCCAAAGATGTATTTATGTGTACAAGTGTTTGAATGTCATAGTGACAGATCTTCATCCATGGGTTCACTCCCCAAATCCCCACAACAGCCAGGCTAAAGTCAGGAGCTTCATCCGGATCTCTCATATTGGTGGCAGTAACGGAAGTACTGGTCATCATCTACCTCCCAGGCACATTAGCAGGAAGCAAATCAGAAGCGGAGAAGCCAGAACTCAAACTGGCACACCAGTATGGGATAAGCAATAGCTTATCTTGCAGTGTCACAACTCCCACCCTATTTTAGTCAAGGCTGTTAAGACTGCAAATGACAGAGCCTCAGCCTTAAATATTAGCCACAGAAAATCACCAGATACCTGAATAGACAACTCTGATGAAAGGTAGTGATCCAAACAGAACACAGGTACTCAGAGGGAACAGACAATTCAGGGAGCAGAAGCCTTCCTTTAAAAAGAGGGAGGGGCCGGCATCCCATATGGGTGCTGGATCTAGTCTCGGCTGCTCCTCTTCCAGTCCAGCTCTCTGCTGTGGCCTTGGGAGTGCAGTGGAGGATGGCCCAGGTCCTTGGGCCCTGCACCTGCATGGGAGACCGGGAGGAGGCTCCTGGCTACTGGCTTCAGATCAGCGCAGCTCTGGCCGTCGCAGCCAACTGGGGAGTGAACCATCGGATGGAAGACCTCTCTCTGCCTCTGCCTCTGCCCTCTCTGTGTAACTGACTTTCAAATAAATAAATCTTTTTTTTTTTTTTTAAAAAAGAGGGATAAGCTTCTAATATCCGTAAGGTATACAGGAAGATAAATTTCATTGAAATGAGAGCAGTGGTGCTGAATAG